AAAGATATAACGCTGAAGAATATTCTTCGCGAATATCAAGAACATTTGCTTTAAAAGCTTGAAATAATTTTATTTTATTAAATTATATGAATACATACTTGAATATATACCAACAGTGTTTCGATTATACATTTATGTGAATTTATATGAATATATATGTACATGTACTTGTGTAAAGCGATAAAGCGCATTGATTCAAGAAAAGAAAGATAAGAATTATAAAAGAATAAATTACAATTAAAGCAATTACAAAGAAATACATGTTAAATAATTCAAAATTTTTTTTTAAAGAAAGAAACTATTAAAACATTAAAAGAATTACAATCAAATAACATTACAAAAGATTGAATAATATTCTGTGATAAGAGTCAAGCATTTCAATACAGAATAAAAAATTAAAGTTAGAATTGCGCACGCGTAATAAGTCTGATTACAGGAAGACGAAGAGGGAAGAATAAGGAAAGAAGAAATAAAAGTTCATATATCCAAACCAATCGCAACGTGCATTGCGCATTTATTCATAAATTTCCTATCCTAATACAGATATATGAATAAATTAATTGTGTATTAAGATATTTATATTTTGTGTGCACTAATCAACATTTATTTCAGCCAACATTACGTAAAATACGAACAATTACATACGGACGGACGATCGCGAGACAGATCGTAAAAAAAAATGGGGAAAAAGTTTAAATAAATAGTAGAATCGCGAATAAAATGAGCAAAAATAAACCGACAATGTCGATTCCGAGATCACCGGTAAAAGGAGCTAAAAAGCAAACCGCGAGCAAAGAAATGAGCGTAATCACGCAAGTGACGGCGGAAGCGGAACGTTTAAAAGACCAAAATGGTAAATTGCGCGAAGAAATGGAATATCTGAAACAAAAAATAGCGGAATTAAACACGAATAGGGAAGATAGACCGGGAAAATCGGGAGATGAATACGCGAGAGAATCGGGAGCGCGAAAACAACGCGATAGAACGGAACAAGCGCGGGAAAACGTACCAAACGCGAGAAATAGTTTAGGGGAAGGAAACATAAATATGTTAGGAAACGTTAGATTACCGCGGGGCGGGTGGCTAATGGACCCATTCGCGGAAATAAAATATAAGGGGAGAGAGGATGGACAAAATCCAATAAAATTCTTAAGAAAATTCGAAAAGATCGCGGAATATGAAGACATTGACCGAGAGATCAGTTACGTTATTTCAAGAAATGCATGAGGGGAAATGCAAGCAATTGGGTAGAGGTAAACGATCTGGAGGATATCGAAGAAGCGAAAGAATCGTTCCGAGAGTATTTCTGGGGGAACGAGCAACAGGCGAAATTCCGGGAGAGCTTATACACAGGGAAATATAAGTCAGAGAAAGGAGAAACGATGGCGCAATACGCAATGGGCTTAGCGAGGCAAGCGAAATATCTAGAACCTCCGATGAACGACCATGAAATAATTAGATGCGTAAAGAGACATTTCGGAAGTGAAATAGCGCGGGAAATACGGCCGTCAACCGCAAAAACAATCGGCGAGTTAACGAGCTTATTAGGCGATATGGAGTACGAGAAAAGATTTATTAAACAAACGAGAAAGCAAAATACGGAGGAAAATCAGTTGAACGCGAGAAAAGTATACGAGACGAGGCAAAGACCGATAAACGTATACAGGGATAGCGTACCGAGAAGATATAACGAACAATACCCGCGTTACGGACCCGAAAGAGGATACGGAAACTACGCGACAACAAATCAAAGAGGAAGATGGTCGAAAGACAACAGGGAAAGAAGGCAGACGTCCGTACAAATTTCGGAACTACCGATTAGCGAGGAAGAAGACGGGAATAAAAAAAACGTAAAGTTTAACAAAGACACGGCGAGGAATAGTCAAAGAGGGGACAAGGTCGTACCGAAGGCGCAGATGCCGAAAAAGCGCGTCGCGGCGATAAAGATTAATCGCGGCGAAATTAAAAGCGAAGAAGAGGAAAGCGAGGCGGAATCACAGGAAGGAGATAGGGATAGCGAATCCGCGATCGCGAGCATAAGAACCGAAAATATATTAAAAGACGTAGACGAAGTGTTCTGCGAGGATCAAACGAAAATAAAAATTCAAAAAGGACCGTTCGTAACAGCAACATTTAATAATGTGAGCGTAAAGTGTCTAATCGATACGGGAGCGCAAGTATCCGCGATGAGTAAGGAGATGTACGAACAGTTAAGACAAGACGGGATAGAAATGAAAATACAGCCGGTAGAAAAAATGCAATTAGTAGGCGCGTTTTCTAAAAAGACAATTAAAATATTATTTAAAACGGCGATAGAATTTAAAATCGAAAAGGGGAGATTCGAGCAAGAGATATTAGTTGTGGACAAATTAATACACGACATAGTGTTCGGGATAGATTTTATCTGCGATCATAACGCCGCGATACAATGCGGGGACGACGGGATAGAAATAGAGCTCGAATCAGAGGACCGAAACATCGTAATTATAAGCGCGGTAATGATCGAGCAGGAAGCGCCGGACATAACGAACTGCACGGCGGAAGAAATGGATTCGTTTTTCGGAGTCTTGAACATAACAGAAGAAGAGGTAGACGAGAGCGACGAACCGCTGTTTACGCAAAGAGAAATAGTCGAGGTATTAATGAGCGACGAAGTAGAGTCAGACGCGGAAAATCGCGAAATAAAAGATTTTGACAGGAAAGAAAGAGGCGAGCGAGCAAAAGAAAATATGATAGAAAGAATTGTAGAAGAGAAGGAAGATAAAAGTATCGCGATGTTAAATTTACAAGGACCGTTTTTCGGGGCGAAATCGGAACAGAAATACGCGTTATCGTTAACCGACGCACAAAACGGATCTAAAAAGACATACTATATGCCGGATAAAATATTAAAGACGCTAACAGACACGATCGCGAATAAATATCTAAAAACAGAAAGAAAACCGGATATAATAGTTACGGACAGACAGGGACAATTCAGAAATGATAAATGGAGGATATTTTGTAACAGGATGGGAATGAGAGCACGCACGCTAAATCCCACGACGAATCCCACGATGAATGTAGCGAGAAATCCCAGGGAAAGAAATGATAAATTTTGTAACAGGATGGGAATGAGAGCACGCACGCTAAATCCCACGACGAATCCCACGATGAATGTAGCGAGAAATCCCAGGAATCCCAGGGAAGACGCAGAAAAGATTGACAGCAGAGACCACGAAGAAGAAGTCGAGTCAAGAAGGGGGAGTGGCGTTGACAGCATGGAAAAAAAACCTGGGAACCTGGGAAAAACACACAAAGAATCGAGATCGAATCAAGGAAAAGAGAGAGAAAGCAGAGAAAAATCTATACATATCTTAAACCAGTCCATCCAGAGTAAGAAAGGAGAGGAAAACGATGATAATCCAACAACGACACCGAAGAAACTGAAAAATAAAGAGATTAGAAGGGGGAGCAGCATGGGAGAACATAAAGATGGAAAGATACTTACCAATCCTCAGCCTAGAAGGGGGAGCGAGCCAGCAAAGAGCACTAAAAGATCCATAGGAAGCTTGAGCGAAGCAGAGACAGGGGACGAGTCGATGAAAGAACCTGTACAGAAAAAGAGAAATAACCAGGAGGTATTCGAACTGATGTTACAGGTAAAAGATATACTAAGCGAGCAGATACCAGCTAAAAAGATGCTGGCAAAGATACAAACAAGTAAGTGCAAGATATACATAGATATAGAAGGGAAATGTGACATAATTACAAAAGCATGCACAGAAAGACTAACTAACGAAGGACTAGAAATGACATACGTGCAAAAAGAAGACCTTATACCAGACTGTATCAAAGAGATAAGCGAGATGGGAGTAAGAATGTTACAGATCAGAGCAACGATAGATGATAAGGAAATAGAAATATACCCAATAGTACTGTTTGGAAAGAAGGATGCCATAATACTGAGAAAAGAGTCGAATGAAAAACTTACTTGGTTACAAAAGATGTGGAGAGAGCAGATCCAGCCAATGGAGCGGAGCGATGAACATATCCAAATGATGGGACCCACAGCGAGTAACCAGGAGACGAAGGAAGAAACCAAAGCAGCAGCACGGAAGGCAGGGACATACAGATACGTAACCATGTCAAAGTATTACAGCGAGCTGAAAATAGATAAAGTAGAATCAGACAGACATAACAATACAGACAGTGACAGTACAGAAAGGGAGACAAAGATAGAAAGAGATAGAATTAAAAGAGATAATGACATTTCAGACACGGAAACAATAGTAAATAAAGAAATTAATGACAGGTTAGGTGAGACATATGACATGAACAGGACTGAGAGAGAAAATAAAAAATAAATTGACAGATAAGGACAGAATAGAAAATAACGAAATAGAAAGAGAAAGAATAAGGGAAACACAATATAAAACAAAATGGGAGGATGAACGAAATGACGAGACGGACGTAGGTAGCGATAGAGATAACCACAACGCGGAACAACAGAACTCATAACATATCACTCATATCACTCATAACACACATATCGGACAACGAACGCGAAATAGACATTTGTACGCGCGACACAAAAACGGGCGATAATCTTGAGACACAAATACACGAATACGACACATTATTAACGAACCCGGAACGATGAATCGAAGTCATAGACATAGTATATCTAGACCGAGCGTTTGCCTTTATTTAAGGAGTGGGGGCCGATGCCCACGTAGAAAAGGACATACTTTGTTTCGTGCCCCTTGCGTTCTCTCTCGCTCGCACAGAGCATAGCGCTCTCTTTCGTCATGCTACGTGCGAGCGAGAGAGAACGCAAGGGGCACGAAACAGAGTATGTCCTTTTCTACGTGGGCATCGGCCCCCAATCCTCAACACTCGGTCTAGATATACTATGGCTGCGGTCCGAAATACGTTCGCAGCGCTATTAGCGCGCTGCCAGCTATAGTGCACGTGACGTAAACTATAGATTTTCAGTACTATGAGCGCTGTGAGCGTATTTCGGACCGCAGCCGCAAAGGCAAACGCTCGGTCTATATATACTATGTCTATGGCTTATTCTCTTGTCTCGATCGAACAAAATAATTTGGTTATCTTGTGATTTATTGTCTATTCAATAATGGCTTTGCATAATTTTGGTGGTATTACATTTATGTTGCTGTTTATACATCTAAATGTAATGATCGCTACAGATTATGATAAAGGTAGAAGAGATCCATATGGTCCATACCCTAGGATACCTGATAAGGAGTTGGTCAAGGTAACCTTTGCGCGATTGTTGTGATTTTAATTTTTTAATATTACGCCAAGCCTCGCCAGTATTAGTTGATTTGATTATAATTATAACTTCAGAATTAGTTACATTAAGATTGAAGTGTTAATCGATATAGGTGAAAGTATTTCATTAGTCTTATAGAGTTTTAATATTTCCAATATTGACGGAGAAAAAAATCATAATTATTATTTATTATTTCAGAAAGAGATAGCTTTTGCGGAAAAATGCAAGAAATTTATGAAATCGCCTAAACAAACCTTTATTATTCATTAATGTAATTGTTGTGCAATGAATGTATAATGGATATACATATACAATGTACATCTTTCCAGCAAGGAAAAAATGTAGTAATAAATGAATGTTATAGTAATTTATATTTTTTTAGTTGTGTTTATATGTATATATAATTGAGAGTTTCAAAAAATTCATGATTTTTTTTCATATGCAATACTTAAACAAATAATTAGTTCCTTTATCAGATATCCTCTAGCACACCATATACGGTCAAAATTCTTTGTACGACAATGACATATTAGAAAAGCTGTGTTATGCGTTAATAAAATTTTTAATTTTTGTTAATAAATAAAGAGATATACAAAATTATAGAATAATTTTATATAGGGATACACTATCATCCCCGCGGCTCAGAGACTGGCCAATGTAACATTAGTCTACTTTCCACCGATGTTTTCAATCCGATTCTGTTTCGGTGCGCATCGAATTTAACGTTTCCATCGACTTAAATTTAGTCCTACGCCGCGCTAGATGCGAATTAATACTTCGGTGGAAACTAAACCAATGGCAGTAGGCAGTACAGAGTGAGGAGTAAGATTTTAAGAGTTGGTTTTAAGAGCAAATGGGAATTGCCCATTTCGTTACTCTCGGTCTTTACATCACTAAAAACAGTATACTCTCCTACTCCTACAGCCTTGTTACTGCCATTGTAGAATGCCCTTTACACTTACGTCTTACGTCCTTACGGAATTTTGTGTGTGATGGCCTTAAGGGCATTCTACAATGGCAGTAGG